CGTCCAGAACATACAGTGAGGACACTGATCTCCAAATGGTTTTACACAGGTACTTCTATCTCCACTGAGATCAGTGGCGTTACTCTGCTTTACAGCATGGTCAGCAACAACAGAATCAAGTCCACAGGATCAATAATGCCACAAAATCCAGAACAAAGTGCCCCAGTAACACGTGCCAGGGAGGAGGAGGATGGGGACAACAACAATTATGGCAACTCCCACATAACCAGCTTGCACCCCTAAAGCTCATTCCCTTGTCCAAAACCCCAAGGCGGGGGAAGAAAAGCTTTATGCACACCCTACGAGCAAATGTTACTCCTACCCGCATGTGATTATTTATTGCTGCTGGGTGATCATTAGCGTGTGGCTGTAAATGATTACTTGTTAAGGTATTTGGAGCTTTTCCTGTGTTTTTTATTGTTTAAATCTAAATCAGTAACTCCGGACTGGGTCAGACCAAGGCTGACAGCAAGTTCCACTGGTCTCACGCTGAAGAGGCCCTGTCCCCAGCCCCATTTCTTTTAAACAGGTGCATCTCCCCTGATAATCAACCCACAGATATCACACGGGGCGTGAGGAGGATGCCATCTGGGTGGCCCAAACCACGCAGGACTCTCTGGTTCAATACAAAGCGACAGACTATGGAGCAATGTTTCCCCATGTGAAACGCTGCTCAGTAAGTGGGCAGTTGTGTTCTGCATGAAGTCCAGCTTCCAGATGGTCTCAAAGTCTAGTCCCATTGCAGTGTGTGTTACAACAGCTTAGTCTGGAGGTAGCACACACACGAATACCTGGTGCTCCCCCCGCACGTGAAATGAAAATGTACATGCTTGTCAGTTCCTATCGATGCAGGGGAAAAAAAAAGGGGGGGGGGCTTGGCTTCACTGGCAACTTGAGCCCCCAGAAGCCCCTGGGGGATCCAGCCAGCCCAACCAGCAGATCTGTATAACGAGTGGTGCTTACATTCCTCCAGTCAGGAAGCTGATTTCATCTTTGCCAACTCTTCCTGTGGCTTTCCCCATTCTGCTGACACGAGCTCCATCTTACCCAGACTGAGCCACAGCTAGTTCACCCTCCTCTCAGCCCCAATCAATTCACACAACTGGCTGTTCTGCTGAACGAGCTGGGTCAGATGTAATAAAAGACACAGGCTCCAATCACAGAATATCAGGGTCGGAAGGCACCTCAGGAGGTCATCTAGTCTAACCCCCTGCGCAAAGCAGAACCCATCCCCAACTAAATCAATCCTAGAGTTCAGCCACGCAGTGCTCGATACAGACCCAAGAGGGATTGGGGGATAAAGGGCCTGTAAGTGCTGGCCCCATTTCCTCCTCTAGACCCATGCCCTATGTGCAGGGAAGTTTCACTTGCCCAACTAGTGCAGCTTTGCTGCTCTTTTGAGCCACTGCAGCAGTGCTAACGTGTTGTAGCAGGGTGCCAGGATCTGGCCCACAGAGCTGGGAGCCATCTGTCAATTTTAGGGTTTTGTACTAGTGCCCATCACTGCGGGTCTCAACAGCTGCCTAAGCCACTGCAATCCATTTTCTCGCTCACCCTCCTAGCAGTCTCAGGATGCCAGAGAGGACAGGCAGGGCGCCAAGACGCAAATCTGCTGTGCCCTCCAAAAGACCATTCTCCGGGCAGAAAAACAACTGCCCCAAACTGTCCACAGGATAGTGTGTTGCTAAGAAAGGAAATTTCTGTGCTGCCAAGGAGTTTGTGTACCGCTTGTAGCTTACTACTGAGAAGTGTTAGGTCTAGATTGAGGTTCAGAACGGCCATTCGTACACTTCCTGACACACCAGACCATATCCTGACATCCCTTCCTATTTGAGCAAAATCTGTGTTTATGTCAATAGGGGTTTTGACTGAGCACAGAGGGCAGGCTCAGGTCCATAGACTTTATTTCCCAAGCTTAATTTTTCAATCTGGTATTAGATGAGAACAAAACTATGAAGTCTATGTTCTCTCTGCTATTATTCTGTAGGTTTCTTCCCTCTGTTTGCTTTTAAATATACATCTCTACCCATAAGAAAGGTACTTCTTTTCTTATTACTCATTCACCACCCTGAATACAGGGATGGTACACAAACACTCTTTCGAAGAGGAAATGAATGAAATACATCTAAACAAGGAGAGTTTTGTGTGTCATGTGAAATCTAGGCAGGCACCACAATGCCTGATGAGACTGCTACAGAAACCTTAAGTGCACCAGTAGGCATTCTTCTGTGTATAGTCTCCTGTTCTCCTTATGGATAAAGATGTAATACAATCACTGCAGCAAATGGATGGCATAAACCTTCAGTACCTCAAATAGAGAAAGGCAAAGCAAAGTCCAGAGCCCTTTTATTTTAATTCCCAGCCATGTTTGTATTTTTATATTTTGATAATATGATAATAAAGGGAATGTAATAGACAAACAACTAAGTACTGTAATAAGCTAACAATATACTGTGTATTATAAATTCAATTGAGGTTTTTTCTAAGGTCTCTCACTAACCTATAATATCTCAAAACATTCAGCGATATACTAATAATTTTCTAATTAATTGTGTGGAATTTCACTAACAAAACATACGTATCACCTTGTTTGTGAAAGGTAATTGCATTCAGACCAACATTTATAATATACTGTATGGACAAAATATTTTCAGCTCTGCTTTACAATAATATGGAAAGCAAGTTCCTATTTCAAAATTGATTCATAAATCCATTGCATCATAAATCCCATACATGGCATAAATAAATTGCTTGGGGAAGTTATAGAATCTCCATCATTGTAGATTTTTAGAAGCAGGTCAGACAAACAACCGTCAGGGATGGTCTAGATAATACTTAGTCCTGCCATGACTGCAGGGGACTGAACGAGATGATCTCTCAATGTCCCTTCCAGTCCTATGATTCTACCTCCACTGTGTTCCAAACTTAACATAGGGAGGGACCTATTGTTTCCTACTAAGTGAGAGAGCAGACCCATTCAATTGTGCGGTCTTTAATTGTTTTAAAAAACAGAGATATTTTGAAAAAATACAAGAGTATAAATATGACCAGAAAATCATAAAAACTCTTATTGTTCAGCTGTACAAGAAAGCAAAGATACAATCTAATCATTTAAAGAAACACTATCAAGTTAGTTTAGTATCCCATCTAGTCCTTCATGGAAACTATATCCGGGATGGTGTGTGTTATAACCTGTACATTCATATCTATATATGTCACTCATATGAATGTCAGAGTCCTTCCTATGTAAGTTACAAAATTATTCCTACTGTATATAACATCTCAACAGCAACTTTCTCAAGGATGTGTTCTTCTCTATATTATACATATACATAAACAGCTTGATTTCCTTAATGTTAGAAAGATGCATGATATGTTCATGTAGTTTTCTTTTCAACATGCTTTCAACCACTGGAATAACTCCCAGGCTTGAAAAAAAATCACTCATCTACTTCCCTGAGAGTAAAAGGGTGAAGGAAGAACAAAACTATCCATTTCTGTGGAATCTAGCTTTCATCAAAAACTAAACATTAAGTTTCTATGCTAGTGAAGAGAATCTTCTGAAATGTCAACTAATGTACACAGAACTGTCTTCCTTAGTCTGCAGACCCAGTTCCAATTAGCAGCCAAGAGAAAAGCAAGACTGGTCAATCTCAATGTTGCTACTCAGAATCTCTGTGGACAAAAGGGAAAGGGAAAGGAATCGCGTCAATTTCACTGTGCTGCTTGGGAAAGCTATGTAGAAAACCAGAGGCTCTTTGGAGGAGGGATGGAATAGCAGAGATATCCTATCTCCAGCAGTTGGCAGGCTGGTAGAAGGATGAAGACTACAGTAGGGGGGTCGGAGAGGAGGATCTCCTTCCAGCAGCTAAAAGGAGGTGAGAGTTCATATGAAAGATAGAGCAGGCTTCCTGATTGGAATCCCAAACACACCTGTCCATCATGTCACTGGGGATAGGGACGGCACTTCTCATCAGAGCATGTTGTAGGACCTCACGAGGGGGACACATCTTTCATTTTTCGTATCAGTCTTTGGCTAGTGAGTGTCTGGTATCATTTTTCAAGCACAGATAAACTCTCTTTCGTAGAATATAAATCTTGGTTTGACACGTGTGTGCGAGCACGGGATTCAGACTAACCCTTAAGCCTGAACTCTTACAGTAGCTTTCCAAACAAGAAGAAGAACTTCCCTTTACTTAGGAGTATATATTTCACTGTAATCAATAATTAAAAATATTACGTTAGAAGTACCTTATGGAAGTGATGCAGAAATTTCAGGGGAAAAAAACATAAATGAAATAGCCTTCACATCAAGTGGAACCATACTTAAGAAGCATCTTCAACAGACAACCCCTGAATTAAGCCACCACTTTCAAACTACCACCAGGCAAGTACAAATTAGTTCAAACTTTTAAAAACCAACCCTGTGCCAGTGATCTGAATTTACAGGTACTTTAAAAGATATAATGCACTTCTTATCAACCTGGAGAATTCAAGTCTGGTCTGTTTTGTGGGAGTGGGTGAGTTCAAAGATCTGCAACCTTATAACATAATGTAAGATAAGGAACTACAACATGGTAACAAAGCGAGTTATTTATGATAAAATGGGTGGTACTGACCAACTAATTTTTCCTCACCCATGATTTAAATCCCTAGGGCACATCAACAGTAACACTAATGCCATGTTGGAAAAGTTAAAACAATTATAATCGTCACATCACAGATCATATTCAATACAGTTTTAAGAAACTAATCATGCATGCACTTGTGTAGCAGTCATCCAATTAGCAAGCCATAAAGCCCTAAACAAAAGGGCCAAATTCTGCCCTATCATAAATCTTTTGAAAACTCACTGCAATCAATGGGAAGAGAAAGCAAGGGCAAAATGTGGGCCAGGTTGTTGGCCATCATTGTAAATAAGCTCACGTTAGAGTCACCAATATCAGAATAACCAGATACTGATTTACACGTAGATATATGTAAATTCTACTAGCACCTACCTCTCCCTTTTAGGAGTGTGGACCGATAGCTGTCCGTTAGTTGAGGCGTGTGGGTTTATTATTAAGGAGGTCTTAGAAGGTGCTGAAGAGGAGACACATGTGGTGGACAGGTCCAAACTGCTGTGGTTGTTGCTTGCTGTTTCCTCTGCTGTATGAGAGCTTGTCACTTCTTTCCAGAGCTGCTGCAGTTCTGTTGGAATCATGCCTGAAACAAACAAATTGGATAATTAAATCAATTAACAGCTAATTCGGCCCTCTTAAAACAGTAATTAAATCAAAGAGTCAGTAAACAAAGCCTAGTGTTAGTTTTCTGTGGGGTTATTTTTTTTTTGAACTAAAGGCTAATACAGAAGTAACACTTCATGTTTCCTGCTAAACTGATTAGCACCTAACACGTAGTTCCTATTAAAGCAAGATTTCTGGGGGAAAATATGTGCCATTAATTAGTATTTCTATGATTTTTGTACCAGAGGGCCCAATCCCAGAGACCCTTTGGAGGCAGAGCTCCAAATGAATTTTGCCTGTGAGATGACTGCAAGAAAGTGGGGCCAGGCTATACTCTGCAGCCATCTGAAGAAGTTTTGTTGCGTTTTTAAAAAATAATTGAATACATTCTAATCTATTTTTAGAATCAAGGAAGATCTTCAAATAAAAGTATTCAACTGTGTTATTATGACAACATGAACCACAATATGACTAATTTTGTGCTTTAGTTTTAAATGATGACAAATAGCTTTATTATTAAATACAGTTTTTATTAATCACTTTTAGACATAAATTATGAAATCATATCGTCTTCCAGGAATGCTTTTCAAATTTTAACAGCCAAATTGATTATACTATGATTATTTCATTAACACACCTATCTCTCTCATTAATTTTGGTTTCTAGTACTGCTCACTTAATTGATGGATGTGTCTATTGAAAAACTGTATAACTTTCTATAAAGTAACACTATTATTACTGTCATTTCTTAGATCAATGCTAATGAGCCATTCACAAGTGAAATGAAAACATAAAATAAGCTTCAAGAAATGTTGTTTCATAGTAGCTTCAAAATGGACACCAGCCTTATTTACAATGTTCAACCAGCATTCCAGGTGAGATAACTTTACACAACACCAGTGGGATAAAATTCACCCTTGGTGATACATCAGGGAGTAGTAACGTGGCCCAATACAGCCTGGACTCTAGACTTTGATCATGTTATAAACATAATCTTTATTCAGAATGCATGATCTAACACCTCACATTCTCACATCACAGAATGCTCGTTCAGAAGGGTACGGGAGAATAGAACAAGCCGAAGTGACGGCATCTTTTTAAAGACATCTAAAACATATAAAATCCTGAACGTTTAAAAAAAAAAAAGTCTGCTTTAGAGTAGGACTTCCTGGGTATTTGGTCCAGTGTTCATTGTTTCAGGGTGTTGTAACGCTGCAGCTATCCTAAGGAAATCTGCCATTTTCTGAATACACAGCAGCAGCTCAAACAGGCATGTATCCTACCAAGCCTACGGTATTGGGAGGGGGGAGGTAGTATGCATTATATTCATTTGAAACACATAATAAAAAATGCCAAGGTCTAAATTTAATTTATTTTTGTCATTTAGAATACAATGGATAGATAATCATCTCAACGTGATCAGCCAAACATCTTTACTTTGCTAAACTGTTAAAGATTTTAATTATGCTAGCTTTGGAGAGCACTGGTCTAATGAGGCGATAGACTCCAGAGAATCTAAGTGGTTAAGAACTGTGAAATGAGTCTGATAGGATTTTTTTATATTCACCGTGGATCGTTTGCATATCAAAGAGGAGTAAATTATTGCACGACAGACCAATAACCTTCCCCGCCTTTCTGAGAGTAGCATTAACAAAAACAGTTGGTCTCTGCTAACGGTTTACTACAAAAAATGCAAAAATGCTTAAGTATCTGCAATTACTATATATTATAAAAGAAGCTTCAATTTTATACATTAGGTGATCACACAGTCTTAGGACACATCTATTGCTCTAAAGCCAAGTCATTTTTCTTTCATACATATCAAATGCCAATTATATTTTGATGGATTTTGTCCCAAATGAGCATTTAGTTATTAGACATATTCAGTTATTACTTGTCCCCTGAAAATAAACCTCTGAGGCAAATTAAAGAAAGAGAAAGGTCATTACACAAGTCCTGTTTTGCTGCATCTGGGCGATTATTTTCAAACACCTTGCAAAGTGACAGTGTGGGATGTATTTTTAGCTAACATACTTGACAGGACTGTCTGCACACTAACAATTACCTGTGAATAGGGCTGACCCTTACACCACTGTTTACTCAATTGCAACAACAGTGGATAGGCTTGTCTGTTGTTGATAACATATTGATATGAGACCACATGAGTCCACGACACCAATTTTTATTTTGGAGGGATAAACAAATAGAGAAAGAATAATAGTCCATTTATATTATGCAAAAAGAAAAGGAGTACTTGTGGCACCTTAGAGACTAACCAATTTATTTGAGCATAAGCTTTTGTGAGCTACAGCTCACTTCATCGGATGATTATTATTATTATTTTCCACTATCTGTAGACAAGTAATAGGTTTTTAATGGGGAAAATATTTTAGAATTCATCTATATCATTTTTGGATGTATTAATGCTTCATTTGAAGACAAAGCTTTTAAGTGTTATAGTAATAACCCCCTCCCCCAAAGTCAGTAGGTTTGTTCTACACTTAATACACAAGCATAACTCATATTAACATTAATGAGAATTATAGTCACCTTTCAGTGTATGAGGGTAACGGTCAGTTTGGAAGTGGAAGGCAGCAAATGCTGTGTAGTAGAATTGTAGGTAATAAGAGCCAGGGTTTCAGGTCAGACGGGATTAGATAACAGAATTGTAATTGTGACATCATATATATACACACAAGTGATACCAGTTACTTTTAAATGACCAAATCACTTGGTTAGAAAGCAAAATTTAACTCTTCAACAATAATTCCAAAGATGATTCCTAACTAAATTGTTAAATTAACAGCTGAAAGATATGCTTATTGCTCATCAATCTAAATGGTTCTTAAATACAGTGCCCCTAAACACATCTTCCAAAATGATGAACAAATGCTAAAAATCAAATCAAATATGCCTATTAACATAATAAATGATGTAATTTACCCTTATATAATTGCACTTTAATATTAAGGGCCACGTTTTAAATCAAGCCTCTAAAATTGCACATGCAACTCTCTGTGGCCACAATTATTTATGTCTGCAACTTTGCAAGTGCAAACAACAGGATTTAAATGTATACCTGCCTAATTTGTGAGAGCAATCAGACAACTAGATGCCTCCATCCTATTATTTGCACCCAGCAGTGATCTGAAGCGAGATTTGCTCGTTTAATGTTATAGCCTGATTTTGAAGAACTAGCCTTAATAGTTCAGAATACTGCTAACATTGGGTTTATTTTAAAATTGTGGCTGTGTACAGATGTAAAATCCAGATTATAGATGTGTCCAAGTCCAAAAAACTGCGTTGATTACAAAAATATAACATTAGAGGATGTGCTATTTTGTATAAGACAATAGGCAAGTGCTGAAACAAAAATGTAGTTTTAAACAATGAATGAATTCTGAAAACCAAAACAAAAATTACATATAAACTGTGGTTCACTCCTTGGGAACGTTTATTAATATTACAACTACTATATGCCATCTAAAATACGACTAGGTAGCAAATGCTTTAATTTGTCATGAATACAAGTCTACATTTACTCGAGGTTTGTGTGTGTTTTACAGTATTTGTTCCAGTCTGGCAAAATATTCTGAAAAGAAAAGGGTACACTAGAGATACTTTTTTAATTTGTAATAAATGCTTTAATTTATTTTAAACCATAACTCTGGCTCATCATTGCATTTTTCAGGACAACTAGTCCCTTTCATTATGAAAGAAAATGCAGGCACAGGTTTAAAAAATGTATGTTGTGGGGACAGTTGACAGATTACTGTTCATGGAACTCAATTTCACAACCCCAGGTATCACTGGCTCAAAGACAAACTGAGTTGCTCAACCTCTTTTTGTCCTTGTACCTCCATACCCAGGTGACCATGTTCAAGCAAGCAGAAAGTTGATTTAAACCTCATAATGACATCAGTTTTAAGCCATCATCTCTCTCTCTGATGAAAAAAAAAAAAAAAAGTCTTGTATTCCAACCTGCCTGAATTCTCAAGTTACTTTTTTCTTTTAAACCGAGTCCCAGTTTCACAAGAGATGATACCAACACTATAGTTCATTTCCCCACTAGAATCAGACCTCTGAAGCACCTTTGTTTATATTTATGTGAACTCTGGCATGCAGCTAGGCACCCCTTAGGTTTTAAATATGCTACTTCCTAATGTTATAGGGACTAATAGTTATACTACACTGCTAACCATATCAATCAATGCCATGACTGCTGAATTACCTACTGGTGTCTCTGATGTGTTACTGCACAGATTACACTTCATGCATCACCACGTTCATTTCTTTCACATTACACATGAGCGTGTCTTGTCACTGCCCAATTGCCCTCTTTTGGACAGCTTAACTGATGTACTATACAATGAACCTTACTGAGCAAACTTAATAGTAGAGAGGCTGTGGGAAAAATTAGAAAGGTTGAAGCTTGAGTCCAGTGGGTGTGTCGGAACAGCTTGCGATGTTTCCAACAATAAATCTGAAGGTGTAATTAATGCACGTTGTAACATTTTGCAAGTACAAATGGCATAGCCTACGTGCCTTTTTTCTGGATTAGTTCCGTACTATTGCCCCCCACCCCATTGACAAAGATGCGCTAGAGGAGGAGTAAATATCTAAGGCCCAATCCTGCAGCCTTCACAGACACTGCCTCCACTGAAATCAACGGAAGATTCGCATGCGTGGCAAGTCCAACATCAGACCTCCATTATTCAGGCAGCCAAGGCATAAATGACATATGCAGAATTTAATTTCTTCAAACTGAAGTTAGGAAAAGGATGGAAGTAAACATGTGGCCCAATCTGGCCAAGGAGGATTCCAACACACTAGGTATCTCCCTACGTCCACTGAGGAGAGAATTGCTGGCTATATCACCCTCCCTCTGGCAGCAATATGTATATTTGGGGGGGGGAATGGGGAGACAAGGAAGTATAACTTCTTCCCTCGGTTTAATTGAGTGTATCTGAATATAAATGCACTACAGGCTTTAGCAACTGGTAGGAGCCTTGAGGCTAACAGCTTTGAAGAAACCAAATCATTCAACCTGAGCTGACTTGAGAGGCTAAGGTGACTCTTTAAATTTAGCACACATTTTTTTTGTGGGGGAGGGGATGGGAGAAGGGAAGAGAAGAGTCTTCAGAAATACCAGCATTATATTTTAAAGACCTGCTCCTCCTCAAGCCATGCCAACTTCGAACAATCTGCCTTCTTAATGAGAACAGCCTGGGCTGAGGCTGGTCTCAGTGTCTTAAGGCTTGTAACACAGATAAACCCAGTGAAAATGAAGTAGAGGAAGAATAAACCATATATTTTTAACCATTCTCAAAAGCACTGCTAAATAAAAAGGACCTATTGACACATTTAAAGAAATCTTTAATAACCTAAGTACTTCAGAGGAGTACTAATTTACTGCAGAGTATGTGACTGTGGAAAGATGCAAGGGGTCTGATTCTCAGTTTATGACAGCATAACGCTACTAACTTCAATGGAGTTAATCCCAATTTGCTTCAGTTTGAGAGGAGAATGGAGCTATACCAGTTTATACCAGTGGAGGATCTGGCCCACTGTGTGTGTACTTACAGTGGAATCGAGGATGAGTAAAACAGGCATGGAAAAATCCCAAACATTCCCACCTTTGCTCAGATCTAGAGATAAAAGGGAATCAAACTCCCAGCGATCGGCAATGTTTGGGTCTGAGTTTCCCATGTCTGATTTCCTGTCAGGAAGGACCTGAAGTGCCGAAATAACATTCCAGAGGCTGTTCTCCAGCTATTCCTAGCCATGACCAAAGTGCCAGCAATCTTTCTAGCAAGGCCTATTCTGAACAAATCTGGATTTGTAGACCCAGGAGGTTCAAGTCCAGCCTTCTGGACACTCATGCAAACTCAACCCAGACTCCATACTGTCTGCCCATCTCTAACTAGAGCAATCCAACACTTCAGCGTTGTGCTTCCCAAGAACAGCTACAAACCTTCTAATGAGCAACCTGCCCGTCAGTTCATTTTAGATGTATTTGCTGTCTTCTCTAACACCCCAAGATGGAGGTTTACAGCTGGCGGTTCCCAGACCGCACACGTACCTTGAGCAAGAGGCTGCAAAGGGAGAGCAGCTTGGCCAGGCTGGATTGTTAGCAGACCTTGGCGCTGCAAAGACAAGAGATGCTGCTGCTGCAGTTGTTGCATCTGTAAGAGCTGCTGCTGAAAGGCCAACTGCTGTGTAGCCACTTGCTGTTGCTGTGGCTGAAAGGGGGGGAAAAAAAGGCACATTTGTCATTCCAGAACTAAGTATTTATACAAGGTATTTAAATGGCTCCCGGTTTCAAAACACTTCATTTGATTATAGTCATCACCAAGAAAGGATATTAAGTGGAGGCCCTGACCACTTCTCATTCAAGATCCCAAGTCATAATTTCAGTCGTAGTGTTAACCACAAGATGTGGCCCAAGTCCACATTGGGCAATTCCATTCTTCCTACCAAAACTCCCCCTGCACTTCACCTGAAATATTTATTTGGCATTTCTTGGTCTAAGTTGTGCTATATTGCACTACAGAAGTTTCACCCTTGAAGTGGTCGCATTTTGGTGGTGAATAAAGCAACCCGTGTGTAGTCTGAAGTACTTGGTGATGCTTCAGGATGAACAGTGTGAATATAAATGGAAAATCACACTGCAAGGTCATATCATACTTAAGAGGAATGAAAAATAATCCTGTGCCATGCTCCATTTACGCATGCAAGGATTGTCTCAACTATTAAGGCAAATGATTGGGTTAATTTATTGCATTTTCTATACTTGCTCTCTCTTATTCATTAATCAAGTTACAGTACTTTCTCCTGTATATTGAATTGTTCCATGCTATATTTAAGACTTTTACTTTCTGCACTTTGAAATTTTTAATTATTCTCACTATAAAGAAGACAGAGTTGCTGTACTCCACGGGGATTTGAACCTTGAACCTCTGAGGTGTAAAAGAACATGTTGCTTTTCTCACTATTGCGCCCGGAGAAGCTTTTAACTACTCTGTTTATCACTTCTGACATAAATAAATGAGAAAAAATCAGACCTTTGAAGAAGAAAAACTTCATCTAATATTGTTAATTAGCCATGACAAACGATGAAATAACATTGTAAATCTTTCATAGAAACAGCCACTAGATTTTAATTACATACATTCATAATTTAGCAAACAACATCTTACTTGAATGTGAGTGTTTAATAAGTACTGTACTCCGGGCTTCAGAGTCCTTAATTTTGCTTCAGTTTAAGGAATCCTCTAGGTTTTGTTTCCATGCTCATCTTGTATTTTATTTGCTTTGTTCTTAAAAAACCATGAAAGGCTTTGCATTTTGATACATATCTTTTTATTTATTGTACAATGACAGGAGGAAAACTTTTGTTGTGTAAAACATCAATACATCATGCCAGTGTTTAGCAGTTCCTTGTGCTAGCCAAAAACAATTTATGTAGATTTCCTTAGTAATTATCTGAGTGATAGAAAGATAATACAGCGCAGCAGTACAATAAATAGAAGGAAATTATCTAATATCCCTAATCTGCTAGGAATCATATCAAGGTGGAGGTCTTATCCCCATTATAGCTAACAATTACGGAAAGAAAATTAACTCTTACAAAACTGCAGGCCCAGACACTCTTACGAAGTGTCCAATCATCACCTTTTTTCATTTTAATGCCTTACAATCCCTTTAAAGATCCTGGGTCAGATCCTCAGCTTGTGGGCAACAGTGAAATCCATTGAAGGCACTGGAGCGACACTGGTTTACACCAACTGAGGAGCTGGCCCCACATTTTAAAAAGTCCCTGAAAAAATGTAAGGAATCAATTCACCCCATTCACATATGGAATGCTCCATTCGGATCATGGGAGAGGCATCAGTGCAACGATGAGAGAATAGACCCAGTCACGCTCAACTTGATAGAAGCTTGATTTTTAAAAAGGACTATTGGAGAAAGTTAAGAGCAATGGAAGCTATTTTTGTTCTAATCCCCAAATGCCTTATTTTATAGCAAAAACCTAACCAATCTCATATTCGCATCCAATTTCAGGCCTACCCCCATACCACTGAGAAAGTTAATTGAGTTCCATTCTGAAAAACAAAATCTACAGTACCGACAACAAAAATTTAAATAAATTAAAACTAAGAGCCAGCATTTTCATTTGTAAAACAGCATGCTCAAAATGATCCAATTGTTTTTCCCATTTTGCAAGTGATCAGATTAATGTAAACCACAATGATAGTGATGTTCATGTTTGAATAATTTTTGGCTCTTCAGATATTCTCATAATAAAAAATTATGAATGCGATCATGTTAAAAAAAATGGAATTAAAATACTCCCTGGTATGGACATGGTTACTTGCCATCTTAATGTAAATTAAGATTTTACAACACTTTATTTATAAAAATTGACTGATGCTTGTTTGGTTCTCTTCTCAGCTATCCCTAAGAAAAGCTCATGAAAGCTCTCTACATTTGAAAAGCCAGGATATAAAAGTATACAAGGCCCATTGTCCAAGAAAGAATTTAAAAGCAACACACGTTGCCAAACTGTGCTCCCCACCCAGTTACCAAACACAGGATACAAGTCAGTTTGTTTACTTCTCACAATTGAATGCATACAAAAAAGGTCTCAGTGCAGTCCTGTTGTCAGGTCAGTAGTCAGTGTTAAAATGCTGAAATATCCTGATAAAACTTGCATTTTTGATCCCCTCCCATAAGCTTCTGTCAAAGGTCTGTTTTCCTTTCTTAGGTTACTCCCTACCGCCTAACATAAACTGTCAAAACTGCTGGAGGACAAACGGCCTTTTTAAAACAATCCTCTTAGCCCAACTTGAACACACAAAATGGGATTCTTCTGCTACCTTTATTTAAAAATTAATTCTGTCCGCTGCTTCTCAAAGTCAGTTCTGTCAGGTATCAGGGAATCAGTTTTGTAGACTAGATGAGCTAGAGCTTTAAAAAAAAAAAAAGATTGCAGTGACTTACAGAAAGAGCTCTTGCAATCACTGATGGGAATTGTGAGCAGAACTTGCTATGCATCAAGCTGTAAATTCCCCTTAATATAATGTAAAAGAAAAGGTTGCAGAAGTCCTGTGTATTGTCCTGGTTATAGGTCAAATCTCTTTGACTAACAGGGTTTTGGTGGTGGTGGTTGGGTTTTTTTGTAAACTGATGGTACAATATTATGAGCCACTAATGACTGGGGGATACAGTAAATTAATACGCTTGTTCCATCTGTCAATGTCCAAGTTCAAACCATGTTAAAATCATAACCACCAGTCCAGATCACAAAACTGCTAGCATGTGACTGTCATTTTTATCACAAAATAGGACCACCAACTGCATGCTAATTTAGTAAGAACACCCTCTTTAGCTCAGGAAAATGGGGCTGAAAAACCTGTGGGATGAAATGCATTGTTGAAACAGGCCTCTAACTAACATCATCGGGGGAAAAAAAAGAAAAAGTAGTAAAAGCAAAAGAGTCTTGGACCCTTATTCTCCTACGTCTATTATATTATAATATTCTTCTTAAAACAGGAAGGAATCTTTTCTTATTGTAACTCTGGATAGTGCAATATCAGAAGTGTGACCACAGTAAATCAGTGTGTTAGATATTAAAATGCCATCGCATTGTCTAACATCCCTTCTTGCCTTTTAACACAAAGTCTGCTTTTTCTTTCAACTCCAAGCCATCATCTTTGTGTCGGAGATGCTCTCCTGTCTGACAACAGCAATTTAGAAGAGTTAACTTTTATCGTTCATTCTGCTGGGTAACTTTCCCCTTCAAATTTCTTTATCTGCCCTCTGAGCTCATCTGAACTTTCATGTTCTCCCAGCATGCAGGCTTGCATTCAAAACTATGTCTAATAGACCAAATAAGAGGTTAATAAGAAGTGGCAACAGAAAGAAAAAATACAATCCCTGGTAACTGATAAGAATGACAGTGGCAGCCCTTTATTGTTTGTCTTCAAATATAGAGTTAAAGATCTTTAAAAAACTAAATTTTGATGCCTTTGAAAAGAAAGAAGCACAAAATAACAACAGGGGGTTATTGCCTGCCAGCCACAGGGGAGAAGCTCCATAATTCTTATTCTCCCTTTTGAAGGCTGTTAGAAATCTGATTCAAAAAAGCAACAGCAGAAGGAGAAAGCCTCTTGAGGCTATAGCCATTTCCTGTGATCATGCATAATGTGCTTCAAAAGTGGGTTTTTACCAATTCTGTTGATCAATTGCACCTCCTTCATATTCCCTCTTTTTTCTGCTGTGTTTACATCTGATGTGACTCAATGACAAGCACTGTCTGAGACTGTGAAACAGACCTGTCATGTTGATTTATGGGCGCATCAAACCACGACTTGTCCAAACTGAAGCTTGCAGTTCATTAATTAGAGAGTTGTGACTTTGAAGTCAGCTTTCAGACTGTGGTTTTTAACATTTGGCTTAATTTATATGCTCTTGAATGTGGATCTCTAAGGAAAAAACTGAAATTCCCTTCTTGTCTTTGAACTTCTTTTGACCGCACAATAATCATTTCTTTGTCCAGAGTGATGCCTGCATCCCAGAGTCATTAACGCACATTGAACTGCCACTGATGAGTAAGCCCTACTGAATTAGAAAAACAGCCAGCAAAACAAAGCTGAGAGCATTCTGCACACTGATATCTCACAATTACATGCCTTCCCTCCCTGTGCCATTTCCATTTTAATTACTGTTAGTCCTTTAGATTTACATTTTAGACACTTTTTAATCTGTTCCCTTTTTATTATAGTGGTGCCCGTCCGCACATTGTAGTTACGGTTGTGTCAGCGTTTCCACTATAAACCCCCTATTTTCAGTGGTTTATAGCTCAACTGTAAAAATTCACACTGGGTTGAAATGTGGCATGGACGGCACAACTCACCAAATTTGAAAAGAAAAGAAAATTGGTTGGGCCGTTTTTATTTTGAGTACTTCGTGCTGCATGCCTGCCCCACCGACAGAAATGCATCACCGCTATGGAAGGCATTACACAGCATCTTGTGCCAAGAAGCAGCTTACTAAGAGGAGTCCAGTCAGACACTGAGGCAACAGACTAACTAATGTTCAGGTCCCTGAACATGGATTTACATAGTTTCTCATGTCACTTCAAGGAGGAATTTTGGTTTCTTAAACTTTAAACAACAATAATATCACTATAAACTATGCAAGTTATGATTGTGATAAACGTTTAGAAAAGCAAGTGTATTCAAAGTTCAGACAGATACTTTTGGCCCTAGCTTGGCCCATTCTGTCTATGTATTGCAGTGACAACAGATCGATGTCTCCTGCTATTATACATATCACGCGTGCTGTAATAGCTAGGCACAACGTGAGGAGTTGAGGATGGCCCTTCAGTCTTATCTTTGCATCTCAGATTTTGTTGATCTGTGTCACAACAAATGTTCCTTAAATGCAGTTCTTCTTCTAAGTTACAACTATGACAAATGTGTAATCTATGCCTCTGCCTTGATACAGGGAACCTGCACTCAAAACCTCTTGAAGTATTTCCCTGCTTTGAGAGCACAGCATCTTGACTACTGCATCCTTATTTTCACCCAGTGTAAAATAACTCACTTCCAAAAACCACTCTCCTAAGACACTAGTCAAGATACTTGTTCCAATACTCACACCAAACAGCAAGGTGTGATGTTGTGTATAAAATACGTGGCAGCAAGCAAATAGAAAGCACAAGAAAATAAAAGAGAAAACAGGACAATAACTCTAAAGCTGAAAGCTGAGACCTGATAGAGTCAGCTCACTTGTGTAATCATTTATAAGATGAATGACAGTTTAATAGCTACTAGGCAGTCTCCTGGGATCTGTGGTTTGAAAGTAAAATGGGTATTGTCTGTACCTCTTTAGGCTGTTTTCCAGCATGTTGTTGCTGTAAAAGTTGAAGCTGCAACTGTTCCTGTTGTTTCTTATAAAACTCTTGAAGCTGCTGCTATAAAGAAGAGGAAACACGGTAAGTAACAAAGTGGAGGGACAATTCAGTGTCCCTTTTGGTGTAACACACAAACGGTGATTTGAAAAATAGCATCCTTTTATCTGTAATGGTCTGACCTTTAGTTTGAAACTCGACAATAAATTCAGTGCACACTGACTATTCTTGGCATTATCGTTTGAAAAGTAATCTCCAAAATGAACTGATGAAAAACATACCATTTTCTACACAAACTAATTAAACTAAGGCAAGGAATGACCTTTGATTGTAACAACAAAGCCAAAATGCCCTTGCTGAGAGAGGCTGGTAAATTTCTGTTGTGAAACATATACATGCTTTCTAAATGATAGGGTTTGACTGTATTAAGTTTTGTTCAATACATACACAGACATCACAGATAATACCCCTCCCACTCCCCACTTCCCAGATGGATAGTAGATGTACGCAGTTTAGACATCCACTCAGTGAATGAGTGAGTGACAGAGTGACAGTGAGAAAAGACTACACAAGGTTAGCTTGTAGTGGCCTTTAAAGTCATCATGGAATTAATGAATTAATGTTGTACAGCACATTAAGATAAGTAAACTTTAAAACCATACTTCATTTGCTGCAATGAAGTAACTTTTAACTGACACAGGCTCACATGTTGAAATGGGGTATCAGGAAAACTAATACTCCACAATACATTCGTTTGTTGAAATTCAAGGGTTAAGGCTTGCAAATATGCTACGTTTCTGCTGACATGGTTTTGACAGTCCCTACTGTGCCATATGGGTTTAATAAGCTTTAGAACGGAAAACACCTCTCTACTGTAGTCTTTGTTTATTCCAACTAGTCAGAAGGAAGTGATGTGCCAAGGAGAATGCAGGTGTAAGCAATGGCGGCATCTGTAGGATTCTTGTTTCTTAAACGTACATCGTTATGTAGCTATCTGGGAAAAGCTGTTAGCTTTAGTCCCTACACTTACATTTTCAATAGCAATAGCTAGCTTTAAATACAAAAGAGCAATTAGCTCACCCCAGATACATCTACTATTCATGTTCTGTGCGCATATAAATCTCCTCACTGTATTTTCCACTGAATGCATCCGATGAAGTGAGCTGTAGCTCACGAAAGCTTATGCTCAAATAAATTGGTTAGTCTCTAAGGTGCCACAAGTCCTCCCGTTCTTTTTGCGAATACAGACTAACACGGCTGCTACTCTGAAACCTGCTGCAGTATATAGGCAGCTTTCTCCCCAGGAATATTGAAGGACATTAGCACACCTATAATAGCCATCTTACCAGCTGTAAAAGAAACAATTACCTGTTGAAGCATGAGTGCCTGCTGCTGCTGGAGCAGGACCTGGAGTTGCTGGGGAGTTAGCACTTGTTGCTGGAGGATCTGCTGCATTTGTTGGGGAGTGATAACTTGAGGTGTCATCATAGCCACTGACACTGGAACCTAGAACATTAACACAGTGGGCATAAGAAGCCAGAACACTTTGTAAAGTGTTCTACTACAGTTTATTCTACTTTTTAATATTAAGAATTTATTTGTTATCTTGATAATTATTTGTCCATTGCTATGTCTACGGAACTGGTTCAGAAACCATCCTGTTTTCTGCTGTATTGCTTACTTCTCATCCTCTGTCGTGTCAAAGTAACAAAAAGCGCAAGAGCTTTGAGAGTCCAATGGAGTAAACATGAAAGCACTGATTTTATTTTCTCCCAGCTACATCTTCTTTCTCCAAAACATTATTGAAATGAAAATTATTTCAATATATGAATACAGTATAAGCTGTCAAGATAGATTTACTTTTAGAAGAAACAGTCAACTCAAAAAAACAGACACAAAAAAAAACAATCTGGTGTCCCACACTGATGGGATCCAGACCCTCGTAAGACAATGATTTTAAGAAAATGAATGAAAGCTCAGGGATGTGACTAACAGAACCTATGTTCCTATGCAATTTTAACAGAAAGACCCTACTACAATGTCTTTACCGTTCCATATTCACCCAGCATACAGATGTCTTCAATTCTTTCATATTACGTGAGATACCATTAAAAGCCGCTTTCTATGACATTTCAGTGACAAACAGCTACAGTGATGAACTTGATAGCATTTCATATTTGCAACTGTTAACACGTTTCTGCACGGGCATCTCTGCAAGGAACCTGTACACTGTATCTGAAAGGATGATGTCTTGTTCAGATAAAACACTGACATTAAAATGACAGGCTGTCTTGGCCAAGGTTACACAAATTGTATTCAAGCGGATATCTAATGACAATGCTATGAATTCTGCAAGCTTTCTAGAATGTAATTTAGCTATTCAAAATAATCACTGCACTTGTATTTAATTTGCAGACTACATGAGAACCATTTTGTCAGTCCCAGTAATGCAAGAAGACTATTTCACAAGAAATAATAAAAAAAGAAAAAAATAGAAAGAGAAAACAACAATAGAGCAAAAAGACAAAACCCATATGACTTTTAACAGTAATATTTAAGCACCTTACTTTTCTTAAGTTTCAAATCAAATATGTGACAGCACAGAACTAAAAGCAGTAAAGGATATACTTTGTTAAAAAGGATCTCTTGTCATCTCATGTATTACAATAAAAGGTAATAACATGTTTTGCACTTTCTCTGCGCACCACTTTTTAAAAATCAGCAGACAATAGCTGATCAGAAGATAAAAGAATTTTAAAAAAATCTTTCAGAGTAGTAGTAAGCAAGAGAGAAATGCAGTATTAATTTTATGTAACATAATGTCTTAATATGCAGTTTATCTTGACTTTTTCACATGATTTGTCCTGCCATTTGCATAGCAAGCTCTCATTCCTAATTTCACAGTCATTATGCACTGATGTCCTGATTTCTCAGCATCACTAATTTTGATGAACTAAAAATGGTTCCTGAAGGTCAGATTCACGTACAGTGCACATCCTCCAGTGCTGTTGTGTATATGTTATGTGCAAGCCCCACGAACTGCTTTTAAGACATTTGTTTGAAAAAGTCCAAGAAATGGTTACGCACTTTTGATAGCTCATTAACATAGCACTGGAATGTCACCCAGGAGTTCTCTGTACTGCCGAGTGCTTCTGAAGGTGCACTATGGTATACACCTCTACCCTGATATAACGCGACCCGATACAACACGAATTTGGATATAACGCGGTAAAGCAGCGTTCCGGGGGGGGGGGAGGGGGCAGGGCTGCGCGCTCCGGTGGATCAAAGCAAGTTCGATATAAGGCGGTTTCACCTATAACGCGGTAAGATTTTTTGGCTCCCGAGGACAGTGTTATATCTGGGTAGAAGTGTACATCTGGACAATCCACCATAATATACAACAGACAGTCACATCTGATCACTCAGAAAATAAATATTTAGTTACGGGACAGATCCTGTTTCCATTGAAGCCAACGGTGAAACCCTCAATGGGCTGGGACCAGGATTTAGCTGTATGTGTATTTCTATAGTGAACATACAGGACAGCAACGGCACTGCAGAAGTGCCATACCAATCGAGACAGACCCCGAGAAGCCTCAGTCATCTGTTGGTAAACTCATTAATTCTGAGCAGCCTAATCCACGTGACTTTTAAAATAACTTTTTCGAAGTAGAAATTTCTTACTTATATTCGGTAGTCACCATACTAGCCTTTAAGCTTTATTCGTCTTTGTTACTCCATCCCAAAAGAAGTTTACTTTTCCTTGAGGTTTACACTATCTTTTATTGAAGTACAACTGAGTAAACAGAGAAGGAAGCATGTTTAAGTATGTTTTCTGTGCTATTCTTGGAAGATATACAATACAAATACTCTTCAATCAGATTTCTGACAACAACCAGGGACACAGACAGGAACAGGGTGGGGTGCTGTAAACCCTACAGATCAGTGATTAATACTAAGGGCCACATTATTCTGCCCTTGGTTATGGATGGACAACTCCCACCGACTTCCATGGGAGTTGTGCACATGGGTCTAAGGGCAATATTTGCCCCTACATTTGAAAAGTGTTTGTGTCCCTTCCAACAAAGAATTTCTAAACAGAAACTGTTAACACTTTGCTAAAACAGAAATGTTTTACAGGTAGCAGAAAACACATATATGGCATCTTTCAGACAGCAGGAGCATGCTGATGAGCTCAACTTACTTTTATCATCTGAAACCACGTTGTCACACCAGCTAGCTCTGTACTGCAAAAGAGGGCTCCGCTTTTAATTTATAAATGTAATAAAAGTTAGATTTACCCAAAGTTTCTGCTCCAGCATATCATGAAAATAATTTATGGAAACCTTTAACAAACATATTCAAATGGACCAGAAACTATTGTGTCAAAGAAAAAAAAAGAGCACTGTTTAAGGACTTTAAATAGTTAAGAATTATGGCCTATATATCCACTCCCTTAACTCCCAACATCCAACTTGTTCATGTAGCTAGTCCCTAGTAATACTAGGAATCAAAGGGCATGCAGCACCAGCAACAGCCTATTATAGCCCACACTTTATTACCCATTACTACTGAGGTCATTAGCGGTAAGAGTGATTGTACCGGTCTTAACCTATTGATCATTGTAACTACTATCATTTAATCCCGTGTTGAATGTCTGGAAAGCTGCTAAAGGCACACAAGAGAGAGTGCTTTAGAGTTGAGAAATATAGCCAAAGCTTGGAAATTACACTTTGATTCATAAAATCTAGCCAGTGGTTTAAATCAATAGTATTTAAAACAGTCATGTAAGTTCTTAACTACAGCTCTCTAATATTTATAGATCCCTTTTTGAGTGTATTCAGTCAAAATTAAATTTTATTTTAAGATCCTGTACAATATACTTTACATTACTTCAGAGAAAAATATTTATTTCTGATATTTTGTGTGATAGTAAGTCAAACCTGAACTGGGGGTTGTAAGTTGAGATTTCTCTCTCTCAAATGTGAATTTAAATGTGTTGCCAAAAACAAAAACAATTATAATTATAAACCTACATTGAAAATGGCTTACCTGTTTAAGCACATGAAAATGAGTGTGTTTTATGAGTTAACAATGAATCACAGAAGGCAGTTTATGAAGAACTAAAATAATTCTGTCTTACTGCCTTCGGGGAGTTGAAGTTCAAATTAAACTACTGGCAGATACATATAGAGAATGCTAACTTACCAAGAACAATAGAAATCACCCTTAATTAGTAGTTTATTTCTATTTTCAGAAAGACACAGTATTGTTGTTGTTGTTGGTATATTTAATAGACTTTATGTTGAATTGTTGACTGATAACAATAGGGTTTGGGAGATACCCAGCTGCATGTAAATCTGGCAGTAGAGGTAAAAATACAGCTGCATTTTGGCTTTTGGAACTCTACTAGTATAGACCTGCTGACATCCTAATATCATCAACGGCAAAAAATGTCTTTAATACTAACAATTGCTTTCAGACTCTTTATTATTTCTCTCAAGGCTCTGTTTGCTATTTCTCGGGATTCCACAACAATCCTTTCCATTCTGGGCCATCTCCTCAGCCCTGCAAATATACCATGTTATAGGATGCTTACCAAGAAAAAGAAAAGAAAAACTTAAAGAACTTGGGCCAAGTTCATCCTCAATGTAACAATGGAGTTACACCGATGACGCATTTGGCACTGTTCTATCTAAATAGGATAGAGTTAAGAGGAAGAAAATGATTATAATCTATTTTTCCCTTTTCACTTATGTTAACATAATTAAATACTAACCAAATATTTTTACCTCGTTCAAACTTGTATACAGAATAAACCAGCATAGAATGCAATTTGCACATATCTCATTATTGGAGCTGGCTGTACTACTGTTAACTATCACAATACATTTAAGGGGTGGATGATTTCTTTAGGTTAAAAAGCCCCCCAAACTAAAATCTTTGTCAGCAAAACCCTCATCCCTTGTGACAGCGTGTTAAAATTTGGCACAAATCAAGTTACCATGCCAAGTATCTGGATTTCAAGACAGTGTTCCTTTGGATGAAGGCTTTGTTGCCAAAAGTTAAATGGAGCAAAAATATAACTGAACGTGTAAAAAGAATGAAGGATAGAGCAGTAATTAAAAATAGTGGACTACATGAAAAATAGAGCTGTAAATAAATAACCATTAACCTGACTGCCTCTCGTAAGACTAAAATGTGAAATATACAAAATACAGAAACCTTCAAGTGAAGCAACATAAAAAAATAACTGTGGTGACATCACAAGAGAAGACAGACCACTGATGTATTGGAAACAGAAAAGCATAATGCCGCAGTCTGTATCTGATGCTTATAAAATAATAAAGGACTGAACACAGTACCCATATTCATCCTGGGAGCGTCAAATATTTCTGACATAATATTTCAGTCATCAAAACAACAACAACGCTAAACTGCTTGAACTATTCATGCAGAAACTATCATTCTGTATCATTATGAAAAATTGAATTTCACTTTTAGAC